ATCCAAGAGGAGTGGTTAACCTTTTAATTGATACTCGTATGTACTCGGATGTGGGAGTTACACTTAAATATTTACAGGTGCTTACGTATTCGGATATTATTTAGTAACCAATTACTAAACTAGAGAGGTCGGAAATATAGCGCTGATCGCTTTGAAATTTTCCATGAGGTTCCACTAATGTCAAGGACAACGCCTATAATTTTCGGTGATGATCAGATACAAAGTTTGTTTTCTTTGTGTTTTTTCGAGTCAATCTATAGGCTACTATTATAAGCCGAACATCACAACACACCCTCGGTAAAAGGAATCCAGACAATTAAATATAAGGAATGTACTGAACATTAGTAACATTTAGAAAATATAACAGTGTAAGGAATAGGTGTTGTTGACCTCGAAGAGGGTGCAATTATCACGAAATATTGCCCAGACTCAGACTAAAAACATTCGCAAAATGTTAGTGTTCCGTGGTAGTTGTGTAGGGTATCGTATGGTCGGCCCCGCCCGACTATATTGATCCGCTCACTGGTTTTGTATTACCTTTCCGAATACGAAGTAGCGGGCACTTCGCTAGTGAGGGTATATATGGTTATCCAATGGAAGGTGTTATTTTGAGTAAAGCCCCTTCTAGGACCGTAATACTTAATTGGTGCAAAACTTCGGATTTTTTCTAACAAAATAACATCTCCTATTGCAAATCCCTATAAAATCAGTCCTCAGTATGATTGAAAAAATGTTTTCTATATAACAGAAATCAGCTCACAATACGCAATAGTTATGGGCTCTTTTTCTTATGAGTCCATAACAACGAACATGAAATGAACAAATATGGCAATCAGAAGAAGAAATAAACAAACCACAAAAATTCCCACATTTCAAGAATAAATAAGGAAACAACAAAGAATGGAAAAAATGTTGAACGAATCCGGTGGGGGAATGTCTCTCTCTTCGGCTGGTTGGCAAACCATAATAAATAATGTGATAGATGTTTGGTTTGTGGTTAATTTAGATGAAGAAGAAGACCAAAGAACAAAGACTATTTGAAAAAAATCGAAAGAAAAGTACCAAACCAAAAGGTTTAATTTTTGGAAAAACAAAATCGCCAAGTATCATTCCAAAGAATGATGGTAAGAAGAGCTGAAAAACACAACAAAGAAATTAAATAATAAATAAAAATGGTATTAACATTTATGGGGAATTGCAGGTTGGCCATGGATTGTTGTTTGCAATCCGGCTAAAGCCTGTGACAACCGGTGTAGGTATATGTTAGTGTGTTTATTTATTTTTGTAGTTGTTTTTGTTGTTTGTTGTGTTGTTGCAAAATATTTACTGTTGTCTGTCATTATTGTTCGTTCATGTCGTGTTCGTCGTGGTGGTTTAATGTTCAGAATACCAAGTAGATTTGTTTGAAAATTCTCTTCGGGTTCGGTTCATTGTCTTCTTTTGCTTACTTATATGGCCATGTCGCAGTCATACTGCTGATATTGTACAGGGCTCTTTTTCCAAGATCATAATGAGCTTTGATCATTGCCCCGCAAAATTCTGGGGCGATACGATTTTGTATTTATTTATTTATTTTTTTTTTTTGCAAATTATCATTCCCTGAGCTTGCTTATTTTTGTTCTTTGTTTGTTATGGTTGCTGCTGCTGTTGTTGTTGATCCCAATTAGTTCCTCCTCGGTCTGCTCTCTCTCTCTCCCTCTTTTATATATAACAATGAATTCTGATGATGACGAGCGCTGCTGTGTTGGAGTGGAGTGGAATTCTTAAAAATTTCAGAAAACCAAAAACCAACAATTCTTTTCTTTACTTTTGTGGTTTTGAAATTATTCTAAGAACAAGAAAAAAAATACAAGAATAAGAAAAAGCAATCAAAACTAGATGACGAATATGATTGCAACAACAAAAACAAAATAATAAAACTCATAAACAAAACAAGATATTTCGTATACCTATATAACTTCTGCGCTATTGTATGCATTTCAAATATATATGTACATACATATGTCGGTATGTTGATATAAACAAAAAAACTTTCAAAACAAATCAACAAAAATAAAAAAAACAGCGTTCGGTTTTCTTTTTTGTTGCCTTGCTGGTTTGTTTACTGCACGATATCGAAAAAATACAAAAATAAAAAAACAATGAGTAATCGCAGCGATTTCACTTTAATTATCGAAAAAATCGCGCAATTTTTTAGACTATTAGTATTGTATTAAAAAAAATAATAAAAACAATAACAACAAGAAATTGTGTTGATATGTATTCTTATTGGGGGTTTCCAATAAGAAGTGATATTTTTAAATTCAAAGAAAAGTTATATATTTTAAGATAAATGATCGGATGTTTATTATACCTTACACAACTATGTTGTCAGGGTAATAGAGCTTTGTGCAGCGAAATATTGGTCGTAGACCCACCTTTAAGTATATCGATCGTCATATTTTGACTATCTGAGTCGATCTAGACATGTGTGTCCGTCCGTCCGTCTGTCAATTATAATTTGTAAACACGATACAAGCCACAGTTATGGACCAATCTTCACGAAATTTTGTATGTAGGATGGGTTTTGGCCAATGAAGAGCCCTCTTGTTTTTGGTAAAGATCGGTTAATATTTAGGGATGAAATGGACCAAATACACTAGAGCTCCGACTTGCGTCGTCCCGATTTGCATCGTTTCGAGTTGCGCCGCTTTTCAAAAACTAGAAAATTCGATTTGCGTCGTTTCAATTTCAAGTTGCGTCGGTCCAAGCTACATTGTGGATTACTATTTTTTTTTTTTTTTTGCATTTGCAGTGCCTGATTTAGCATCGTTTAGCATTTTTAAAACTTCTGTACCTGTACGTTAACAACATTTCAAAATTTTCTTTGTTTTGAATATTTTCCCCAGTAAATTAAATTTCAGTGCATTTTGTATATGTACAGAAAAAGGTGATTCGATTTGCGTCGCGATTCTCCGGTCCCCATTAACGACGCAAGTCGGAGCTCTACTAAATTTTTATCGGGTTTTCTGGTCGCTCCAGAGGCCGCAATTATGGTCAAAGATAAAGATCGATCATGCCTGTTTTCATAAAGATCGGTCAATATTTAGCGGGACAAATAGACTCTGACTTTTGTGTGAAAAATTACAAAATTTGTATTCTATGGCATATATATTTAGTCCTGAAGGACATAGACCCGAGAAGTTGATAGCATATCCAAGAGGAGTGTTTGAACTTTTAATTTATATCAATTATATTGTCGTATGAACTCGGATGTGCAAGTTACATTTAAATATGTGCTTACAAATTCGGATTCTCCAAGAGGTTCTAATTATGGTCAAGGGTCGATGATCTCCCCCATCGTAAAAATGGATGAATCATCGGAACCGGGAACCACTCTAAACGAGTCAACGCCAAGTAGATCTATTTGACAAGAAGATTTACCGGAGAACGCTTAATTTCTGCAATCGGTTTATCGGGCGGGACAGAGACTCGATAACGGACAAGGAGTTTTTTCTAATTAACAAGAACCTCAAATAACGGGAAGTTATTCAGGAACTATCCGAATGATGTTTCTAGGGACTTCTTAATTGATTGAATTCCTACAACACATCAAATACAGCCGGGAGTTATTCAGGAACTATCCGAATGATGTTTCGAAAGACTTCTTAATTGATAGAATTCCTACATCACGTGCAAAGTCTACCACAGTAGCCCCTTCAAAAGAGGAGAAAACAGTGAGTGGCCCGCACACAACTAGAACGGTGATGGCTAGGATCTCTGAGCCTTCAGCTCGCTTCAAGGGAGACCAGAGCGCTGAGAAATCTCCGACATCATCTAAAGCAACTGAGGGACTGTCGAAGTCAGGCCGACAGAGAGCTCGTAAAGAATCCTAGTGAAAAGCTTATAAGGCACAACCGTCCACTGTAAATCCGCCCACTGCTGAAATGTCGAAACCAAGGTTATGACAATTGGGCAGTTGTTGTTGGATAAACCAAATGTGCCAAACAAGAAGCCTGTGCTCACGACAGCTGGGTCAACCTCTGCTAGAGTTGCAACGGGAGCCAAAACTCAAACACGATGCACGAAGTACGCCTTCGTACGCAGGTGTGGTGAAAGCCAAACCCACCATCTGGAAAAAGAAACCTACACCGACAACAAGCGACCCTGCTGCTGTACCAGATGTACCGGAGAATCTGCGATTAGCAATCAAGGATCGAGCTCACCTCAACGGGATTATCAGTTATCTGAAAGACATTTTCCTAACCGATGCCAACTAGGACGATTGTGGCTAGGACCTCTGAATCTTCAGCTCTGAAGCACTGAGAAATCCCCGACATCATCATCCAAAGCAACTAATAGTAAGGGACTGTCGAAGTCAGCGCGACGGAGAGCTCGTAAAAAGGTCTCAAGAAAAACTGATAAGGCACAACCGCCCACTGCTGAAATGTCAAAACCCAAATCCATGGTTACAACAATTGGGCAGTTGTTGGTGAATAAACCAAAGGTGGCCAACACGAAAAAGGTGCTCTCGACAGCTGGCTCAACCTTGCGGCAGTTGCAACTTAAGGAGCCCACGACTGTGAAGACAATTAGGCCCTCGAACGAGCAACAATCTCCTGCTGAGAGACGCACACAGTCGTTAGATGCACGAAGTACGCCTTCGTACGCGTCGGTAGTCTCGATGGATAATCCTGCCAAGAGTGGTAAGGGTGTGGTGAAAGCCATACCCACCGTCGCGAAGCAGAAATCTACGCCGGCTCTACCAGAGGGTCTGCGAGTAGCAATCATGTATCGAGGTGACCCCGACGGGATTATCAGTGATGATAAATGGTTGCTGCTCGACAACTATCTGAAAGACAACTTCCTAACCGATGAAGTTGATCGACGGAATCTACGGCTCGGCCAGATCACTTTGTACAAATGGGTCAAAGTTGTTAACTGCCTTACTAAGGAGTCTGCTGACTTCCTTAAACAGAAAATTACAGCTGTGACCATCTTAGGAAAGGTAGAAGCTCAAGCAAGCTATTCGGCGGGAATGGCCAAAATACCGCAGAGCAACATTCGGGCAGCGTGTGACGGTTTCTTTGGCCGTTTGAAGGCCATAATTCGTGACACTTATTCTAAAATTTGATGATATATCCCACATTTTTTGCATTTACTCAATAACAATTGAGAAAAAAAAAGAAAAAATTATGGCGTTTGACTTTGTTGCAGTTTATTTTTATCTCACCCTATATGTCGATAGTCACGTGGGTCTTAAGGTAATAAAATTCCGTATTATAAATTCAAAACCGTATAATGACTGTAAAGTTTGTCTGCATTACTTACGACGTGTGGTTAATTTTTTGTTGGGTTCCAGGACATAGTGAAATAAAAGGGAATGAAATAACTGATGATTTTCGTCAGTCACCCAATGTACGGATTGAAGAATCTGTATGGGCTATTACATGGGCTCGCAAGATTTGCACCGATAAAGCTGAATAAGATCGTTTAAAGATAAAAAAATAAAGGCACAACACAGGTGATAGAACTTTTTAGCATGACTCTCAACTCCAATTGAGATGTCAATGTTTAAATGAGGTTAAGGAAATGTTGGAAACGATCGATCATCTACATATGTGAGCTTGCTGTTTGTTGATGGAGTCGCAGTGGTGGAAATGGGTTTCACCAAAATGTAGTGAATTTAAAAAAAAAATCACGCAATTCTGTGGCAACACCTTAATGTATGAAGGAGCCAAGAACATTCAAAGAGTAGATAGCCTGCATAATAGATTGTGTATCATAATATATTGTGAAAATTAATGCTTCTTGAAATATTAGAGGTTTAAATTTTTTGTGTCGTTCATTGCCAAAAACACATGTTTCTTCTTTGATTTCACTTAAAAAGGGAGACAAAAAAGCAAACGAATCAACAAATTAAAAAAAAAAAAACAAACCAAAAACCATGCGTGTCATATAATGGTAGAGGCAGGTAGTAGTATTGTATTTATTTCTCAACACGGAAGATATACATTATGGAGCCTTTTATTAACATCAGCAGGTATATACATACATATATACCCTCCACAATCTGTGATTTAACCTTCAACCGTTGTTGCTCAATGACAAGAAAAATAGGCATAAAAGAAAACTTAAAAAAATAAAAAACACGACACAAAGCAGGTCCAAATAAAATACAAGTCATCGTGTGCGATAACGTCGCCAGACCAGCAAGAATATGCCTTAAAAAATTTTGAAGTTTTTTTGCTTTAAAAAGAAGGAAAATTACCAAAAAATACTTTCTGAGAATCATAAATGGTCAGTCAGTATGTAAGGAAGTTAAAGAACTTATTTAAAAAAATAAGAAGCAAACAAACATATTTGGTTTACCACAACAAAATTTTTTACACTTCTATGAGTGTCGATGAGTGTTCAAAAAAGATTTAATGTCACTATTCTCCTGAAGCTGAAGACTGCAATTAGTCTCCAAGGAAAGAGGAACAGAGCTGCCTTTACACTCAGGACACTCTTATCATGATATTGCTTCAATACTCAGATGGACTTATTTGTAGATTTCTAATACCCTACAGTAAACGCCTGTAACCGTCTGTCAAAAATGACAGAACTGGCACAGGTAAGGAGCCACTAGTCTAGGATTCCCTACTAAGAAAATCTACTCTGATGTCGTTTAAGTCTCTATATGACGGAACATACTAAGGAATTAACCTCCTCTGGAAAAGCAAACTCCAAGGTTCGTAGTCAGAGACAGCGGAAGCCAAATGACAGACCGACCAAGTTAGCTGCTGACGAAGACCTTCAAGTGGCAATCATTGACAAATCTGATTCTCATGGTAGGATTAGTGATAGTCATTGGTTGCTCTTTGAAGGAGCCCTTCGGTCGGCTAGCGTCTGTGGGTCGGATCAGGGAGATCGCCAGGTTGGCAGTGCCTTCATGCAGAAAGGCGCCAAAGTCATTAACTGATTGAACAGGAAATCGAAAGATTTCCTCGTGACAAACTGTCGACGGCTTTGGTACAATCTGGGAAGGAGCCAAACTTGCTGCGGTCTCCCTATCTGAGATTCCAACCAGACGGATCCTCTCAGCCTGGGTTCCCCAACCTTCAGTGGACAAGGAACTCCTGGTGAAAATGTTGACGTTGCAAAATCCCAACCTCACTACATCGAACTGGACTGTTGTCAGTCTGTCTCCTTGCAACGAGGATGGAGGGATGCTCGCAACGGTAGCAGTTTACCCAACGGGGGGCGTGAGGGAAAATTTAACTCCGGTTCGGTTTGGGTTTGGTTTCGACTGAGCACATCCACCGAAACTCAATAGGAGTAGGGAAGCGGTAAAGGCTACGCATCCTGCAGATTAATCGGCATCATTGTAAGGCCGCAGCCGCAGAACTTCTCTTGTCCCTCACGAACTCTGAAGTGGACATCGCCTTGGTTCAGGAGCCATACATTTATAAAAATATGGTTTCTAGATTAAGTAATGCCAACTTCGACATATTCGCCGCCTTAAAAGAGGTACAAACCTCAAAAACATTCAGTATTTTTTTTTTTCAGAACAATAGTATGTTATAGATAAATTATCTACATTAATAAAATAATCTAGATAAATTAACCATGTCATGTGGATATTAAGCATTCGAAGACTTTAAAAATGTCGCTATAAGTACCGGGCTAACCACAAAAGTAGCAACCTACCCTGTCGGCTCGTCGCATATAATCACATAGAGTACCTCCTGTATGAATGATTCATTTAGTGTCTGGGTATATGGAAAGTGGCGAGTTTACTTTTCCTGTATTTAACAACAATACAAAGACAAAGTGATGATTTATATGCTATTCCACGTTGTGGACAAGGGTCAGTCAGCACAAGAGTCATCATCGTCATTATGTATACAAACTTGAAATACAAAAAAAAAAAAAAACAGAACATTATTCTTATGTGAAGTAGGGTAAAATGAGGGAAATAAATGTATATATATTTCCCTGTGTTCCTCTTTATGTTTCTTCTTTTTATGTGTAGTTTGTTTTTTTAGGCGTAGGTCGTGTTAACACGTTTGCATTGAGCAAGTCAGCTAGGAAACTAACAAGCAACTTGGTCGACTAGCTTTGTCGATGAAAAAAAAACACAGGCAACCAACAACAAAACAAACTAAGCCAGACATAATGATGTTGATGATGATGATGGAGCAAACTCACAGAAAACAAAAACCCACTTAAATTTCAAGACTTGGTTTTTGTTGGTAATGTTTTGCTTTATGAGAAATGAGAAGAAACACCACAGCTGCTGGTCGTCTGGTGGAAATAACAACAACAGCTGCAATATCAGCGTCTCCATCACCCCATCCTCACCATTTAAAGTACCACAACCAGCATCATCATCACCATCATCCCCAACATTGGAGGAAACAAAAGTATCCCCCCGCCCCAGCAAATTCAAAGAGTATTGGAAAACAAACATTCAAAAGTAGCATTGAAGACAGTGGATACTAGGGGCAATGGCTAAATTAAATTACGGAAAGAAACACTATGAATGCTGTGAGGAAGAGGAGAGGGGAAAAATTAATAATTAAATAAAAGAAGAAAAACAAAAATAATGATAATGACATTTTCTTGAACATTACAACAACTCTTCAACGTGATGGTCTGGTTATTTATGTTTGTTTGGATCACATTGCGAAAGAGGGATGCCTTCTAAATTCAGTGAAAGGAAACGAAGTACCATGAAACCTTATAAAATGAATATCAAGAAGAATTGTGTTATAAAATGAAGGAAAGAAGAACAAAATGTTTTGTATTTCGTCTTCGGAAAATTACCAAACATGTTATGGTTAGGAAAGTTTTTATTATTGAAACAAGTAAAAAAGCGGAGGTTTGCGGAGGTCTATGGAATTGCACACAGGCAGCAATAAGATGAGAACGATGGTTCCATTCTCTTCGGACTTGATCTGGGATGAGCGAAGGTATATATTGCAATATAACAAAATGGAAAACTGAAGGAGTTGACCGACTGGATCCATTTTCGAACATAATCTAAGTACAATGAAAATATTGTGTTGTGCCAAGTTTCAATGAAAATGAATATTCGGTTCGCTTCATATGATATGTAAAAATTTAGTTTGGATTAAATTGGTTACTTCCTTTCGAGGGTTATGGTGGGCACCAGCCGGCCGGACAGATAGACGGACGGATTGGCTTATATTTCCTGTAAGGCCACCTCTCAGAAAAATCTAAAATTTTCACCATAGGTAATACTTTGTATCCTGATAAAATGCATACAAAGCTGGAAAATCCGCACCCCCCCCCCCCCCTTTTGGGCTTAACTCTGGTTTAGTTAAAACGACCAGATATTTTGAAATTATTTGTTTTTTTTTTCTTGGGGAAGTACTCAGTTATTTCACCCGGAAGTGCAGTTACGGTTAAACGGTTATATCCGGTTCTACGCATTCCGATTAATACAAAATGGTTACAATTTTAAAGCTTATGAAAATATCTTTCCATTGTCTGAATATGAATATGATATCGTCCGTTTGGGAGATACAGTGAAAAAACGGTTTTGGACCCAAACTATTAACGTCCTTTATCAATCCCGACTCAAACTATAGACTACATTTTGCCCTTCCCTGACTGTATATGTTGTGGATAAAAGTATGGGCTTTAGAACACCACAATAACAAGGAAATTCGTTGGCGTAGCCGAAGTTGGGTCTGTTAACGTCCCTCACCAATCCCGACTCACACTATAGACTAAATTTTGCACTTTACCCTACAAAAACAAGGAATTCGTTGGTGGTGAGTTGGTATCTGTTCATAGGAGAAAAACTCAAATCACAGGCCGTCCACAAAAAAAATCTTCTATTCGATTTGTAAATCGACTCCAAATTGTGTGAAACGGATTTGGTCCAAAGAAACTTGGGAACAAATTTCCTTTAGGACACCTCTCAGAAAACGTCCCATAGGCAGTCTTTTGCTTCCTGGTTACATAAATATAACTTTTTTTCGGGGGAAATGTATTCTTTCCGAGATAAAAGATTCCAAAAATGACGAAATGTTCACTATTTTCATTCAAAAAAAATTGACTTTGCATTAAAATGTGTAGTTACCCTTTTAAATTGAAT